ATATAGTTTTACTGTCTTTACAACTTTGGCCTGATACCATTAATCTTTACTGTTTAACTTTTACACTGTGTTGACAGCCCCAACTATATAGTTTACACTGTCTTTACAACTTTGGACTGATACCGTTAATCTTTACTGTTTAAATTTTACACTGTGTTTACAGCCCCAACTATATAGTTTTACTGTCTTCACAACTTTGGCCTGATACCATTAATCTTTACTGTTTAAATTTTACACTGTGTTTACAGTTCCAATTATATAGTTTTATTGTCTTTACAACTTTGGCCTGATACCTTTTTAATGTCTTAGTTTATGTTTTGTTTACAGATTTTAACTCAATACCTACATTTAATTTACATCTTCAACCTGAATCATTTACTTAGTATTATTGCCAGGAAGACTAGTGTAGTCTCATTTCCACAGCTTCAGTAAAAAGTTCACGGTTTATTATTATGTATGAAATTCTTTGCACATAACAAGTGTATCATTTGCTATGTTAATCCTTTAGTCATCTGTCAGTAACTACTGTTTTCTTCTTTACAACCATGTTAGTAGTATCCAGTTTTAGTGTATCATTTGCTAAGTTAATCCTTTAGTCAAAGAAGAAAACAGTAGTTACTGACAGATACAACCATGTTAGTAGTATCCAGGTTTAATGTATCATTTGCTATGTTAATCCTTTAGTCATCTGTCAGTAACTACTGTTTTCTTCTTTACCACCATGTTAGTAGTATCCAGGTTTAGTGTATCATTTGCTAAGTTAATCCTTTAGTTATCTGTCAGTAACTACTGTTTTCTTCTTTACAACCATGTTAGTAGTATCCAGGTTTAGTGTATCATTTGCTATGTTAATCCTTTAGTCATCTGTCAGTAACTACTGTTTTCTTCTTTACAACCATGTTAGTAGTATCCAGGTTTAGTGTATCATTTGCTAAGTTAATCCTTTAGTCATCTGTCAGTAACTACTGTTTTCTTCTTTACAACCATGTTAGTAGTATCCAGGTTTAGTGTATCATTTGCTAAGTTAATTCTTAAGTCATCTGTCAGTAACTACTGTTTTCTTCTTTACAACCATGTTAGTAGTATCCAGGTTTAGTGTATCATTTGCTAAGTTAATCCTTTAGTCATCTATCAGTAACTACTGTTTTCTTGTTTACAACCATGTTAGTAGTATCCAGGTTTAGTGTATCATTTGCTATGTTAATCCTTTAGTCATCTGTCAGTAACTACTGTTTTCTTCTTTACAACC